GGGGGTGGAGGGGTCCCGGGCCCGGCCCCCTGCCCGGAGCTGACGGCCGTGCCTCTGCCCCGCTGCAGTCGGAGGAAGACAAGCAGCTGCAGGATGAGCTGGAGATGCTGGTGGAGCACCTGGGGGTGAGTGTGCTCTGGCCGTCGGGTCCCTGCAGCGGGCGGGCGGTGCTGGAGGGTGTTGCTGGCTGGTGCGGTGGCGAGGAGGCTGCCTGTGTCCCGCTGCCGGCCTCTGGCCCGAGGGGTCCTCCTTTCCTCCCGCTGTGTTGTCGCTGCCCACGTTTGCTGACGACCTTCTGGGGCCTGGGGGCGAGCTGAGCTCGTACGGCGACCGCAGCCATGGCTGTCGGCTCCCCCCCAGTCAGCAGCGCCGTCCCTGTGGTAGCGGCCGGCCCAGGGCCCTTGTCCCGTCCCAGCACTCGAGGGGAGCTCAGGTTCTCCCCCTGGCGAGGGTCCTGCCTGCCGCGTTCTGGGTCTGGCAGCGCCAGGGTCACCAGCCTTTGGGTTGTGGGCGAAGCGAATGCTCTTGCCCCAGCACGTGGCTGGGATCCGAGTCAGGTGGATTTCAGAGCTGGGGGTGGCGTGGTTTATCGTGGCCCCACAGGGCCTGGTGCCTGCTTTGGGTCCACGTAACGGCAGTTTGCCTGCCAAGCACGTGGCTGAACCCCCCTGGCCCTTCACAGCCTCATGCGAGATGCACCCGGTACAAGCCAGCCCTGTGCGTGCTTCTGATGAGCGCAGGTGTGTGATAGCGGAGCCTGCTTAGCGCTGTCCGAGCGGGTGGGATGAGGGCACCTGCGCCAGCCCCCTCCCCCCCTCCCGTGACAGGTGCGGCTTGTTCCTCCAGGAGAAGGACACGTCCCTGTACCGCCCTGCGCTGGAGGAGCTACGCAGGCAGATCCGCTCCTCCACCACCTCCATGACTTCTGTGCCCAAGCCCCTGAAGTTCCTCCGCCCACACTACGGCAAGCTGAAGGAGATCTATGAGAACATGGCTCCTGGAGAGAACAAGGTGGGTGGGCTCAGCCCCTGTGTTGTGGGGAAGGGCAGGGGACAATGCTGCAGGCTGGTGGTTGACTCGGTGCTGAGGGGGTGGTGGGCTGGGCACTGAGCATCATCCTGCATGCCTTTGTGCTGCATGCCTTGGAGGTACCCTCATCTGCAGCACAAACCTTCTGCTGACAGACGGGAGCCACCAGGTCCTGTGTCTGCCAGCTTTGGCTGGCTTCCACCAAATCTGCCACGGCTCTACTGTAGCAGGTGTGCTCTGGTACACTCTGGGAGGGAGGCACTGGCTGTTAATGGGGCTGCAGGCTTTCCTGGGGGATGGGTGTGATGCACAGCTCTGCTGGTGTCCTGCTAGAGTGCAAGCCAGGCCCTGCTGTGGCAGTGGTTGCATGGGACATCCTGACACTGAAGTAATTGGAGGCAGCCTACCTGTGTGGGGTGGGAGAGTAGTGTATCAGGCAGGTGGGGGCTGCCTTGTGTTGTGTGTGTGTGTGTGTGTGTGTGTGTGTGTGTGTGGTGGGGGGGGGTCATGTCTGTCTCATTTGTCACTTCTGTCCCCTCTGTACCCTCGTGGCTGGCACCACTGGCTGGCATCAGCATCTTGAATGTCTTCCTGCAGCGCTTTGCAGCTGACATCATTTCTGTGCTGGCCATGACCATGAGTGGGGAGCGGGAGTGCCTGAAGTACCGCCTGGTGGGCTCCCAGGAGGAGCTGGCCTCCTGGGGGCACGAATACGTCAGGTAAGGGGTGGGGCTCACTCTGTTGTCACCCAGGGCCTGTCTGAGGCAGGCTCCAGCTGTGCTTTGTGCTTGGTTCAGCCCTGAGCAAGGCTTTGTGATGGCGTCTCGCCCTTCTCTTGTGCTTCTCTTCCACGGCTGATCTGTCTGGCCTCCAGGGGTGATGTGCAGGTGTCCTTGAGGCAGAAGTAACAAGAACAACATAAGCAGTGCTATGCTGGATCAGATCTATGGTCCATACAGCCCCCTATCTTGCCACTGCCAGAGACAGGAATGGTTGTGTTAGAGGGAGAGCATGTGAACAGTATATCTTGAGCAGTGGTTCTCAACCAGTGTGCCACAGCAGCCTGAGGTGCCTTGAGATCCTTTTGTGGTTGCCATGCAATGTTAGCACTTAGATATGCAAACATGACTCGTGAGTTCAAACCCAGAGATTTCACACAGGAATCTGCAGTGTTAAAGCCATTCTGCCCTGTTGTGGGCTTCCAGAGTTCTTCGCAACGGAAGATTTACTCTAGCATTTTTGCATAGTCAAAAAAAAAAATGGGTGAAAACTAAGTACTAGCATTTTCCAAGGGGGGGCTGGAATCTTAAAAGGTTGAGAACCACTGATCTAGAGTGTTTTCTCCCCTGTCATAATTCTCCCTGGCGTCCACTGTCATTGGTTTAGAGATGCCAGAGGAAACATCTGTAGCTCTGTTTTGGGTAGTTATTAGTAGATATATTGTCTAAGAATCTTTTTAGTTCCTTTTTGAATCTGACTATACCATATGCCTTTATCACCTCCTCTGGCAATGAGTTCCACAAGTTAACTACATTATACATAAAAAAAAAGTCCTGTCAGTTGTTAGTTTTAAACCTCTCTCCTGCTCTTCGTTGTGGGCACCCCCCCATACTAGTATTCTGTGTTTTGGTGAATAACAGTTCTCTGTTCCCTTTGTCCTGACCCTTCATGATTTTACAGACCCCTATTGTATCCCCCTCCGCCATTGTCTTTCCAAACTGAAGAGCCTGTCCATTGTATTTTCTCTTGGTACAGCAACTGCTGTGTATCCCAGTCATCTTGGTTGCCCTTCTCTGTACCTGTTCTACTTCCACTGCATACTTCTTGTAGTGTGGAGACCAGAACTGCACGCAATACAAATCCATGGGTGCCCACATCTTGAATATGATGGCATAATGATATTCTCAGTTTTGTTTTCAATTCTGTAATGATGTCCAACACTTTTTTGTCTCTTTGTTGCTGTTGCATGTTGAGCTAATGCTTTTGGAAAACTAATCTACACTGACTCCAAGGTCTTTTTGCCTTAAATCGCCTCTAACTCCACTATTAAACTGTATCCCTCTTGCTTGGTGGTATACACTCCTCTAGAGCCTCTAATGGTATTTTTAAACAGCTTTCTGGCTGCCTGCAAGTGTGTATCCCAGCTGCGCCCCCTGAGTGCTAGTCCCTTTCCCCTCTGTGGTAATACACATCTCTCCATGCTGATCTTTGCTACCTCTGTTCCCTCATTGCTGGACAGACCCATCTCTCCTTCCCTCAGTTGTTTATTTCTCAGGGCTCCCCACAACCTGTCATGTGATTCCCAATATCCCAGTTGGGGGCCCCCCACAGCTGTGCAAAGGGATGTTCTCCCTATGGGGCCTGGACCTGAGTGCAGGATCCTAGCAAGGGCTCCATGGAGATGTGCCGCCAAGGTCTGCTCCCAGCCTGCCCCTGCGCATGCACCTCAGGCCCCTTCTGCACGCACAGGTAAAGGCACAGTTGGATTTAATGTGCGATCCACACAGTCATGCCTCCTGCCACGCCACACCTGCATTGGCAAGGAGCAGGATCCTATGGCAGGAGTCCCTTTGCTCAGGGATCTCCCAGCTGCAGAGACCATGCACAACTGGGATTGAGAGACCCTGCAGCTGATGGGGCTCTGGGTCCTGGCTGCATGCAAGGCACAGCTGGGACTGAGAGTCTGTTAGGTGTGGGACTCTCAGCTGGGTGTGCAGCGCATCCAGGACTGAGAGTCCCGTGTGAGCCCGGGGGTTTCATGTACCCGAGCCCTAGGAATCCGAGCAGCTGTGATTCCCCCAGGCCCAGGAGTTCCCCACTGGGCAAGATGCAGTTGTAAGCTAACAGGGCTCCCAGCCACATACTGCAAATTAAAGCTCGATAGCAACCAGCTGTAAAGTTAGCACACATTTTTGAGGTCTAACTTTTTATACCTGGCTGGAGCAATTTATTCTGTGATAGCTACTTTGCACATATAGCTGGTTTTAAAATAACTGTACAGTTAACCAGTTAATTGGCTGAGGCCCCTAACATGTAGAGGGGGGCTTCACAATCAGAGGTTTTTGTTTCTAAGCCGAGCATCAGTGTGTCTTGAGTCCCTTGAGTTCCTCTGCTTCTTGCTGTTATTTGAAGCTCTTCTCAAACCTCTGTTCAAACCAGGGGTGGGCAATTATTTGGGCTGGAGAGCCACTTAGGAAGTCTTGATGAGCTGTTGCAGGCTGTGTCATCACTCTCCAGCTCCTCCACCCCCTGCCCCTCAGCCCCTTCCAGCCCGCAACAGCTTGCCAAAGTTCCCAAAGTGGCTTTGCCTCAGGGCCCAGTCCTTTGCTGTTGCTGCACGGTGATCCCAGCCCTGGGGTCTCAATGGAGACTGTCTCGGGACCCACATGGGCAGGCATGCTCAGCTGGGTGGATGGGATGGGCATGTGGGCGAGTGGGGAGTTGGAGGGGCAGGGTGGGCTGGGGCAGAGCCGTGATCTGCTCCTGGCATGCCCCTCCCCATGAAATTGGTGTGGGTTACGAATTGTGGCTCTGTCATGGGCCCCAGCCCTGCGCTGTCACTGCCTTGTGATCCTGGCCTCACCTGCCCATCCTGCTCCTGGATGCTGCTCTGTGACCCTGGCCCCATCCTATCTACCTAGCCAAGTATGCCCTGTTCACATGAGTCCTGGGCTTGTCTTCCTGGAGACCTTGCCTATCCAGTCTGTCCAGCACCCCTGGCACTGGGTGGGGATGGGCTAGGGTGCCCAGGCAGTGGGGCTGGGTCCTGTGGCGGTTGTGATGCTGGCAGCAGCAGCTGGAAGGAGCCTCCACTGGGGCTGCTGGGAAGAAGAGTCTGGCCACCATGCCTCCTCAGCCTTGCTGCGTGCCTGGGGGCAGTGAGACTGGCTGCACATGCCACAGCCTGGGCTGCCCTCTGCACCTGGACTGGGTGGGGCCAAGGGACCCACTGTGGGTCGAATAAAATCCTTCAGTGGGCCAGATCGAGCCCGCAGGCCATATTTTGCCCACCCCTGGCTTAAATTGCATATTCATGAATGTGTAGCTGCCTTTCTTTGGCACAGCTGCATTTATTAATGTCTGCAAAAATACTGGGCCTGCTCCTCCTGTCCCAGCTCTGTTCTCTGCTGTGTATTGTTGCTGTCTTTAGCCAGTCTTAATGACCAGCCCCCAATCCAGTTCTGACTCAGATCCACCAAACAGCAGCAGTTTCATGCGTGGGTAACTGAAGAATATAAGTGGAAAAAATTCGCTATTTTCTCTTGTACAGCGTACCCTCGAGTAAGGTCTGCACCTTGTTTTTGAAAGGCAGAATAAAGAAAAATAAATCTTTCCTCGAATACTGCCCAGTTCTGCTCCCCACACCTTGAAAAGGATATAAGAGAACTAGAGAAGGGCAACAAGGATGATTATTGGTATGGAGGGGCTTCCATGTGAAGAGAGACTAAAGAGGCTAGGCCTATTCAATTTAGAAAAGAAGGGGGCACATGAGGAGGGCTTATAAAATACTAAATGGCAAAGAGAAAGTAGGTGGGGTTTATTATTTACTGTCTCACGATACAAGAATGACAGGTCACAAAATGAAGCCAGTGGGTAGTAAGTTTAAAACTAACAAAAGGAAGCTCTTTGTCACCCAGCGCGTTATTTAAGGTGTGGAACTTGTTGCCAGCAGATATGGTGGAAGCTGACAGTTTAGCCAGATTCATGAAGGGAATGGACTAGGGTTGTCAACTCTGAATCTATTCTGGGAGGTTTCATCATATGACATAATGACATTAATGAATCATTATATCAGAAAGGCAAATGCACATTACTATTACATTTTAAAAACCCACTGGACTACTGTATAAATGGGATTTCACATTTAATATTTATTTTAATGAATGTCCTATCATTTGTCTCCTGGGTGACTCTCAGCAGTCTCCTGGAGATTTATATCTAATTCCTGGAGACTCCAGGACAATCTTGGAGGGTTGGCAACCCTAGACTGGGCACATTCTTGGAGGAAAGGGGCATCAGTAGCTATTAAGAATGGGAGTGAGGGGCACAGCCTCCGAATCAGAATGTCCTAGATCTTAAATCCTAGAAGCTGCAAGTGAGAGAGGAACCCTGATCACACCCATTTCCTTCTCCCTTTCAGCATCTGCTTTCTGCTCTGTGTGACATGGGAGACTGGGCAAGCTGGGCCTATGGTCTGACCCAGTAAATGGCAGTTCTTGTACTAAGTAATTGAGGAGCAGCAGCACGACAGCTGAGCCTGCTACCCTGAGGATCATACGCAGAGTTTCTGTTACTTAGAAACTTAAGTGGCAGGAACTTACTTGCATTTTTCTCACGTATAATGCAAATCCTGATTTCCATCAGCTGTTTGCGGGGACAAAGTGCATGTTGTATGTGAGAGAATATGGTACAGCTTTTCTTTGCTATCCTTCGAGCAGATGATAAGACTGACTCCCGTGCAGAAGCTGCTTCCAAACTTGATTCAAGAAACAGTTGAATGGGATAGATCCTTTATAAGCCAAGCTTGAGCTGTTCCTTGACCCCAGCTCTAGGAGGGCAGCTACCTGCGGGGGCTTGTGTGCTTCTGAATTTCCCAGGCTGACTATAAATCTTGGAACTGTGCTGATGGGTGGATGCATCAGGACCTGAGCATGGAGCCTGTGCTTAGTTGCTCAGGCTTAAATTTACCCAGGTGGTAAATAGCTCTGGCTAAATGCCTTCTGCAGTGAGTGCCTGGCTTTACATTTAGCAGTAGTGATAAGGACCAGAGGGTTGCCAAGGTGTTCAGGAAAGAAGGGTGAGAGCTGCTGTTGCAGCATCCCAGCTGATTTCTTTGCTTCAGCATTGGGTGGGGACTCAGCTGCAGAGCCTGAGATGCACTGGCTGCCCTTGGGGCTGGGGTCAGCTGTGGCAGCCCCTGTGATGGCCCTGCCTCCACCAAGGCAGTTCCCTGCAGTGGAGAGGAGTGCTTGTTCTTGGGGTCTGCAGGCTCACCAGGTGGGATTTGGGGGGAAGCAGGGATTTGGGGGCCTTCCCTTTCTGAGATGCCCAGGCCCTCAGCTCCAAGAATGGGAGAGTCTGGCCCCCTTTTCCTCCCAGCCAGGGTTGCAGGCTCTGGTGCTGTCATTGGGGAGGGGGCAGTTGCATCTTCTGCAGTGACCTCCCAGGCTGGTATGAATGCAATGTGAGGTGCAAACACCTGAGTCAGAGGTGTAGCTTACCTGAACCTCCTCAGTCCCTTACTGGCTGCCCCCAGATACTTCTTGGGATCAAGGGTGCTGTCTCTGAGCCATGTTGGCCTCTCTCTCCCTCGTGCCAACAGGCATCTGGCAGGCGAGGTGGCGAAGGAGTGGCAGGAGATCGATGAGGCTGACAAGGCCCAGAGGGACACACTCCTGACACTGGTCAAGGAGATCGTGCCCTACAACATGGCGCATAACGCGGAGCACGAAGCCTGCGACCTGCTCATGGAAATCGAGCAGATGGACATGCTGGAGAAGTACATTGATGACAACGCCTACGCCAAGGTCTGCCTCTACCTCACCAGGTGAAGGAGCTGGGCTGCCTTCAGGCTGGGGGCCCAGGCGGACGGTGGGGAGGAGCGGGGAGGCTGCTACCCACCAGGGGCAGGAGGCATCAAGGGTCTCAGTCAGGATGTTGCAGCTGGAGATCAGAACCTTGGTTTTGCCCATGTTTGGCAGAGGCCCATGAGGCAGCATTTCCTGCTGGCTGCAGAGGAGGGAGTATGTTGCCAGTGAGCTCTACCTCTCTTGAGCGCTTCCAGTTGTAGGTGGCTGGGAGCATTGGACTCAGCTACCCAAGAGCGCTGGTATGAGCTGCTAGGGGTGGTGATCTGGTCTGAGCTGCCAGCCTGGCCAGGTCCTGCCTTGGGTAGTAGCTGGACTCACCCCTGGCCTATCTTGGACGCCTACACAGTCAGGTGGGTGGCCAGCTGGCTTAGGGACCATACCCAGAGAGTGGTGGTGGATGGTTCCTTCTTGGCCTGGCCTGGAGGGAGGTGGGCAGTGGGGTCCCGCAGGGTTCGGTTCTGGGACCGATATTATTTAATATCTTCATTGGCGATTTGGATGAGGGTGTGGAGAGCACCCTCTCCAAGTTCGCTGATGATACCAAGTTATTGGGCAGAGTTAGTGCACCGGAGGGCAGGGAGCAGATTCAGGCCGACCTGGATAGGTTGGATCAATGGGCAGAGAGAAATAGGATGCAGTTTAATAAAGATACATGTAAGGTACTCCACCTGGGAAGGAGGAATCCCCAGCACACCCATAGGTTGGGGAGTGTCCTTCTCAGCAGCTCGGAGGCAGAGAGGGATCTTGGAGTCATAATTGACTCCAAGATGAACATGAGCCGGCAGTGTAATGAGGCCATCAACAAGGCCAATCGCACCTTGTGGTGCATGACTAATAGATCAAAGGAGGTGATGCTCCCCCTCTATGCGGCACTGGTCAGGCCGCACTTGGAGTACTGTGTCCAGTTTTGGGTGCCGCACTTCAAGAGGGACGCGGGGAATCTGAAGAGGGTCCAGAGGAGGCCACTCGCATGATTAGTGGCCTTCGTGATAGACCCTACGGGGGGAGGTTGAGAGAGCTGAATCTCTTCAGCCTTCACAAGAGACGGCTGAGGGGAAATCTTGTGGCCGCCTATAAATTTATTAGGGGAGGTCAACAGGGAATAGGGGAAGCGCTGTTTACTAGGGTGGCCCAGGGAATGACTGGGAATTATGGGTGTAAAGTAGTTGAGAGGGGATATTAGGAAGAAATTTTTCACAGTAAGGGTGGCCAGGATCTGGAATGGGCTTCCAAGAGAGGTGGTGCTATCACCTAGCTTGGAGGTCTTCAAGAGGAGGCTAGATAGTCACCTGGCTGGGGTTGTCTGAGTTCGGTCCTCTTTCCTGCCAGGGGCAGGGGGTCGGACACGATGATCCATTGGGGTCCCTTCCGACTCTACAATCTATGAATCGTCTTCCCTCCACAGCTGCGTAAGCTATGTGCCCGAGCCCGAGAACTCGGCTCTGCTGCGCTGTGCCCTGGGCATCTTCCGCAAGTTTGGGCGGTTCCCGGAGGCGCTGCGCCTGGCCCTCATGCTCAATGACATGGAGCTGGTGGAGGACATCTTCACCTCCTGCAAAGACGTGTATGTAGCTGATGGGAGCTGCATCCATTTGGCTGCCCTGGTTACAGATCCCCCTTCCTAGTCCAGTCCCATCCCCTCCAGAGGGTCTGGTCCCTGGGCTTTGAGGCTGGAGTCTCAGTTCGGTTTCTGGTGGCCCAAGCATCTGCAGAACTACAACCCCGTTCACTGTTGGCACTTTCTGGTTTCTTGCTGCCAGGCTCGGCTGTGGATGGGACTGGTCAATGCCACAGGCCTCCCCTGCCTCACCTGAGTGGGCCCTGTGCTGTCAGGGCGTTTTTCCATCCCTGCCTGAGCTACCCTTGTCCAAGGGATGGGCCTCCGGGGCTGCTGACCTGATGAGACCAATTCTGTCCCCATGTGTTGAGAGCTTGGAGTGAACTGAGCCCTGAGTTGCTCTAGTTACCAGCTTTAGAGCAGGTCCCTCTGGCTTGAGTAGTAGAGGCCCAGTCTCTGTATTGGGGCTGCTGTGCTCCGGCCCAGCCCTGTTGGGGTTGGGGTTGATAGATCAGCCCTTCAGGGGAGCAGAGGCCGCCTCCCCCTTCCTGCTGGTTTGCCCCTTGGTAGGCAGATATGCCTGGGTCCTGGGTGGCTCTGAGAAGCTGGGTTTTGGTAGTTTTACTGGGAGGGAATGTCAGAAGCTGGGTCCTGGGCAAAGGCTGCTGTGGGGGTTGGAGACTGCATGGGCCTGCAGAATTCTAGCTCCTGAGGCTCCTGCAGCTCCCTGGGCTGGGTTGCTAGGAAGAACTTCCTGGGAAGTGGGAGAGCCAGGCAGGGTGCTCTCAGCTTCTGGGCTGGTGCTTGGGGCCTGACACTGATCGTGTCTCCAAAGCAAGGGTCCCGGCTCTGACACCTGTTGGTGCCTTCCTATGCAGGGTGGTACAGAAGCAGATGGCTTTCATGCTGGGGCGCCACGGTGTCTTCCTGGAGCTCAACGAGGATGTAGAGGAGTATGAGGATCTCACTGAGATCATGTCTAACGTGCAGCTGAACAGCAATTTCCTGGCCCTGGCCCGGGAGGTGAGGCCTGGCCTCGGTGGGGAGGGGCACGGGGCTGCAGCCAAGAGGGGATGGAAGCCCCAGCCCACACTGGGTGCCAAGGAGCAGGCTGCCACTTGGCCCCTCTTACAAGGAGGGATGGCAGCTTCGTTCCTGTGCCCTGCCAGGGTGGGTCTGGGAGGGGGCCCTGAGGATTTTCTGTGTGCAGGGTAGGGAGCAGCTGGGGGTTGTGGCTTGGTTTGGCCTGGCAGGGCATTGCTGCTGGCTGGGAGGTAATGCCCACTTTCCCCCTCTCTCCAGCTGGACATCATGGAACCCAAGGTGCCAGATGACATCTATAAGACCCACTTGGAGAACAACAGTGAGTGTAGCTTCAACTGCCATGTCATGTTGTCCTGCACTGCAGCAAGGGGGTGAGGCTGGCAGATATGCCTGGGTAGAGAGGCCTCTGGGGGTCAGGGCTCTGAGCAAGGCCCCAGCTGAGCCCAGTCCTACCATGCTGGGCTTGCCTCAGCCTGGATGGGGTGGGGCATCCAGCTTGTTCCCTCTGGCCATGCCCGTCTGCTGTAGCAGTCCTCTGGCACCTGGAACTCTTGCTGCCTTGGGGCTGGGGCTGGACACTGCCCTAGCAGCCCCTGGGGCCTTGGGGAGCAGGGAGGCTAGAAGAGCCTGGTCCCCTGCCCTGAAAAGGACCCTGGCCAAGCAATGCCATGGTGCTGCCCAGCTTCTCTCTGATCCCATCCCAGGGTTTGGCGGCAGTGGCTCGCAAGTGGACTCAGCTCGCATGAACCTGGCCTCCTCCTTTGTCAACGGCTTCGTCAACGCTGCCTTTGGGCAGGACAAGCTGCTGACCGACGATGGCAACAAGTGGCTTTACAAGAACAAGGACCATGGTGAGCGCGGGCGGGCAGGGAGTGGGGAAATCTTCCTGCAGCCCCTGCCTAAGGGCTGGGGACACTGGACACTTTATACATGGCTTGAGCCCTGGCCTTCAAACTGGCATGCCCTCATGTCTCGGCCCATGGCTGCTGCCGCAGGTACAGCTAGCCAGTACAGGCTCAGACTTGCCCATGGGCTTGACTAGAGCAGCGGCTGAGTGGGACTGGAGCTCCATTGGGCATGAGGGATATGTCTGGAGGGCTGCACTTCCCAGCATGCAGTGCTTCAGCAGTGGCTGATTTGCTAGGCAGCACGGCATTCTGGGTAAGCAGTTTTCTGTAGTACTCCCCTCCCCAAGCCAGGGGGTTCCAGCCCCAGCGCTTCCTTGCTTGCGTTCAGTCTTATCTGTGGGTCTCGGCTGCTTCTCTAATACATGATGGCAGCTTGGCTTGCCCACACTGCCTCTAGTGCCTGTTCCTTGGCCCTGTGCTGAGGCCTCTGAATGCCCCATTTGACTGGGGTCAGCTGCCTGGTGTGGGACCCACATGTCACACCCTAGCAAACATCCCAGGTGACTGCCAGGAGGTTGGCAACCACAGAGACCTGGGCACCCTGGACTTGGACAAGGCTCCCCCGGGCTGGGTGGAAGTGTGAGGTGTGCCCTGGCAGTGGGAAGAAAGGAAATGGACCATGGAGGGGCCCATGTGGGGGCAGGGACTGATTTGACCTTCCTGTGCTCATGATGCAGGGATGCTCAGCGCTGCGGCCTCACTGGGCATGATCCTGCTGTGGGATGTGGATGGGGGCCTCACACAGATTGACAAGTACCTGTACTCCTCTGAGGACTACATCAAGGTGGGTGGTGCTGCCTTCCTGGCCTGGCGCTCCCATGTCACCATGGCGACAGCCTTGCCAAGGCAAAAGGGCCTGCTTGTCCTCCCCACATCCTGCATGGCTCTGCTGTTGTGGTTCTCCACAGGGCCCCACCTGCCCAAGGTGATGGTTAATGCCCCATGTGCTTGGAGTCCCTGCCCTGATGGCAGAAGCGAGGCTCTGGGGCACTCATGGGGGGCCCTAGGGGCCTCTGTATCACACGGATGTGGCTTTGAGAAACCACAGGTCCCAGCCAGCAGAGCTTCCGAGCTGGGGGTGGAGGTGCATTGCACAATGGGAGCTGTGGTCCCCTAGTGCGGTCTCTCCCACCTGGCCACCTGCATGATACCCTCTGCTACCTGTTAGGGGAATGTTGGGGCTCTATCTGATGTGTCTCTGCCCTGCAGTCGGGCGCCCTGCTGGCCTGTGGCATTGTGAACTCAGGGGTGCGGAACGAGTGTGACCCTGCACTGGCGCTGCTGTCCGACTATGTTCTGCACAACAGCAACACTATGCGCATTGGTGCCATCTTTGGGTAAGGCCCACCCGGCCCCTTGCCTACTTGCCCACCCCATGGGATAGGCCCCCCACCCCTGGCCCTACTAATGTCCCATGGGTTTCTGCTGCAGGCTTGGCTTGGCTTATGCCGGCTCCAACCGCGAGGATGTCCTGACTCTGCTGCTCCCTGTCATGGGTGACTCCAAATCCAGCATGGAGGTAAGTGGGCCAGCGGCTGGGGAGGGTGTTCAGGTGTCACCTGTGCCCCTGTGGTTGCCAGGCTGGCTATCCCCCAGCACTCCCCTGCCTCTGCATGAGAACCACTGAGGATGCTGATCCCAGGAGGGCTGAAGTAGCCATTGCCTGGGGAGCTGGAGATATTGCTTAGCTCTGTCTCAGCAGCTCCTCAGCATAGGTGGAGTTGGTAGCTGATGATGGGCAGTGGGGAGAGGTCAGTGGGCCCCAAGCCCCAGTGTCTGAGTGCCCTGCCTCTCCTGTTTATCAGGGGCCGATGGCTCCGGGGGCAGCCCCTACCCAGGCATCTTCATGGGCTTTGGAAGGGGCCTCTGGGGTCATCTGATTTGTCTGATCACTCTGGATCCCGCCCCCCACCAAACTAATCGGGGTTCTGCTGAGAGTCACAAGCCACATGCAGCTCCCCAGGAGCAGCTCTGAGCCACCCAGCCTGCTCTGGGGCCCTTTTGTTCCCAAGCCCTGAGCCCTTTCATGTACACTCAGTTTAATCTTGGCCTGGTGGGTACAGGTGCAGCCTCCTTAGGGCTGTGACCAGACAGTGCTGGGACAGTGAGTCTCTGACTGGTGCTCTCTCCTCTGGCCAGGTGGCTGGCGTGACGGCCTTGGCCTGTGGCATGATTGCTGTGGGCTCCTGCAATGGGGACGTCACCTCCACCATTCTCCAGACCATCATGGAGAAGTCTGAGACGGAGCTGAAGGACACTTATGCTCGCTGGTTGCCGCTTGGCCTGGGCCTCAACCACCTGGGTACAGCCGGGCAGGCAGGCACTGTCTGCAGGCTGGGGCTGGGCTGGTGAGCCCAGGGGAGGGCTGGGTGTGGCATTGGATCTGGGTGGTGAGCCGGGAGCAGAACATGCCTGGGGCTATGTGGAGTGGGGCGTCCCCTCGAATATGGGGCTGGTGTGGCTGCTCTGCAGGTCCTCCCAACATGCTGGGTTTTACAGAACAGGAGCTTTTAAGTTACACAGGCCATACCTATTGGTTTGTGGCCTGAATGATGGTTTTGCTCTGCTATACCCCATAATCCCTTGCAGTTGCAAAGGCCCATGTGATTGGGGTTATGAGGGGGCGGCACTGGGGGAGCTGAGCAGATGTTAAGGGGAGTAGTACCCGGGCAGGTGACAAGGATAGGACAAGGTTGGGGGTGTGGGGTGCTCTGGCTTGCTACAGGCTGCCTAAGGTTAGAGAGGTCCCTCAAGGCGAGCTCAGGTGCCCTTCTGAAGGCCTCCAGCTAGGCACCAGCTCCTGGCACCTGCAGAGTCTGTACCCTTAGGCCTGGCTGCTCTCACAGGCCTTGCTGCTGCCCCACAGGGAAGGGGGAGGCAATCGAGGCTATCCTGGCGGCGCTGGAGGTGGTGTCGGAGCCCTTCCGTAGCTTTGCCAACACCCTGGTGGACATCTGTGCCTATGCTGGTGAGTCCCAGCCCTGCCCAGCAGTGGTGGAGGTTGAGAGGGGGTTGGCTCCAGGACCCTGCCCCTCCTCATAATGCCAATCCCATGGGCCTCTCTTATCTACAGGCTCAGGCAACGTGCTGAAGGTGCAGCAGCTGCTCCACATCTGCAGTGAGCACTTTGACTCTAAGGAGAAGGAGGAGGAGAAGGACAAGAAAGACAAGAAGGAGAAGGAGAAGAAAGAAGGCTCAGCTGACATGGGGGCCCACCAGGTGAGGCGGGGGCATGCAGGGCTTCTGGCCTTTGTCTGCCCAGGGAAAGGCTTCCAGCAGATGCTGCCTGCTGTGTCCACAGGCAAGGGGGGCATGGCTGGTGTCTATTCTGTTCCCTTGAGCTGGGTAGCCCCAAGGAGCAGCTGTTGGCATGAAGACCTGGCTTGGCCTGGCCTGGGAGGGCTCTGGAGAGAGTCTTCACTCTGGGATGTGGAGAGGGGCAGAGCTGTTGGCCTACTGGGCCTGGTCAGGCTGGGTGGTTTAGGACTTGGTCCCTGCATGCCTTGGCTGGTGCTCAGCCCGCATGTCCACCCCCTCTACAGGGTGTGGCTGTGCTGGGTATCGCGCTCATTGCCATGGGGGAAGAGATTGGCGCCGAGATGGCTCTGCGCACCTTCGGCCACCTGGTGAGTGATGGCACTGATGTGGGAAGGGGAGGAGGCTTCACTGCAGAGGGGGGGATGGACCTCACAGGGAGCTCTAGGTGTGGGGCAGGAGAAGACAGGGAGTGCCACCCCTCAGCCTGGCACTGCCTGCTCGTGTTTCCTGGGTGCCCACTGCCTGCTCACATCCCCTCCCAGCACTGCAGAGGACTCTGCCAGTCTTGTGACAGGGACTCCCTGGCATGTGTGAGGGATTCAGGGCCCAGCTTGCCCCCAGGCTCTAACGTCTCCATCCCTCCCGACATAGCTGCGGTATGGGGAGCCTACGCTGCGCCGCGCTGTGCCCCTGGCCCTGGCTCTGATCTCGGTCTCCAACCCACGCCTCAACATCCTTGACACCCTCAGCAAGTTCTCACATGATGCTGACCCTGAAGTCTCCTACAACTCCATCTTTGCCATGGGCATGGTGGGCAGTGGTAAGGCCCCTGGCACTATGCAGGAGGGAACTGGGGGGTGGGGGGGGGTGGTTACTGTAGTCTCAGCAGCTGGGTGCTGGAGTAGCAGGGCTCTCTTTCAACCTTCCTTTGCCGATCTGTTCCTGATTAGCAGAGCCCCAGTGCCAGCTGGGTCACACTGGGCAGATGCTGCCATCTTCTCATCTCACTGCTGGGGGTGGGTCCTGCCCAGGGTGGAGTGGCAGCTGAGCCTGTCTGCGTGTGCATGCGGCTGTACTGCCCTGGGGCCCCTCACTTCTGGATACACAGCCCAGAGCCCTGGTAGACCTCATTCTGGATCACTCGTTGGAGAAGTGGTAGGGATGTGTCTGGCATCTGGTACCCAGGCTGGGGCTTGCAGCCTGTTCCTAGCTTCCTGCTCACCCCTGGTTCCTGTGCAGGCACCAACAATGCCCGGCTGGCAGCGATGCTGAGACAGCTGGCCCAGTACCATGCCAAGGACCCCAACAACCTCTTCATGGTGCGGCTGGCTCAGGTAAGTGCCTGGAGTTGGGTGTCTTGGGGCTCAGAGCCCTGCCCAGGGTGCTGGCCTGGGGCCCCGTCCTAATGCACCTTCCTTTTGCTGAGCAGGGGCTGACTCACCTTGGGAAGGGGACCCTCACACTGTGTCCATACCACAGTGACCGGCAGCTTATGAGCCAGGTGGCTGTGGCGGGGCTGCTGACCGTGCTTGTATCCTTCCTGGACGTGCGCAACAGTGAGTATGGTGGTACTTGCCCACAGGGCACTTTTGGGTCTGAGGGAGGGTACCCAGCAGAGGGTTGTGCCTGGCTCAGCCCCTTGCTCTTTACCCTTGATGAGCTGGGTTGTGCTGCTCAGGTGGGTGGGTGGCTTTGGCTGTGTCCTGCAGGCTGTAATGCCCCTGTCTCCCTCCAGTCATCTTGGGCAAGTCACACTATGTCCTGTATGGGCTGGTGGCCGCCATGCAGCCACGCATGCTGGTGACGTTCGATGAGGAGTTGCGGCCTCTGCCTGTGTCGGTCAGGGTGGGGCAGGTAAGAAGGCAGTGGCGGAGCTGCTGGGTTCTGAGACTGGAGAGGTGATGGCTTGAGGCTGAGGGCTCCAGGTTGGTGTCATGGGGCTACCTGCAGCCCTAGCAGCACCTGTCTTGGCCTGGGAGCCTTGAGCTCAGTTGTAGGTATCTGTGGCTGCCTCCATGTCCTCAATGCTGACCCTCATCCCCTTCCACAGGCTGTGGATGTCGTGGGGCAGGCAGGCAAGCCAAAGACCATCACAGGCTTCCAGACGCACACAACGCCAGTGCTGCTGGCACATGGGGAACGGGCTGAGCTGGCCACGGAGGAGCACATGCCCGTGACGCCCATCCTGGAGGGCTTCGTCATCCTGCGCAAGAACCCCAACTATGATGTCTGAGCCTGGGGCTGGGGTGGGGCAGGGGCTGGAGGAGGTGGGGAGGGGAAGGGGCATGTGCTCAGCTCCTCGCTGCTGTTTGTTACTGAGGAGCTGGTAGGCAAATAAATCTATGGGAGACAGAGGCTGCCAGCTGGTTCCTCCAGGTGGGGTGGGGCAGACCTGGGTGCCTGGGTCCTGGCAGCTGGGGTCGGGTGGCCTGTGCTGGCTGTGGCAGGGGGCTGGCAGGCTCTAGCTGGAACTAGAACCTGGGAGGTAGCTCCGTGCCCAGTGGCTCCCCTGCCTCCCAGCAAGACGCTCAGACTGGAGGCCTGGGCAGACAGCAGCATTTGATGCCAAGTGTGGGGCCTGGCTTGAATTGAATTCCCAGGGCATCTGTCTGGCTCTGGCGCCATCAGGCACCTGTGAGGGAAAGGTGCTGGCTCAGGGCTCCTCCTGGTGCCCCATGCAGGATGTCCCTTTGCACCCTGAAGGCCCCTTCCCCCTGCCCAGCAGCTGCCTGCCAGGGGCGGTTTACTCCGATAGGGTGATGACTAACCATTCCTGTCCAAGCCCCATGTGGCATCGTGGCTGCTATTGAGCCTAATCTGCTTTGCCAGCCTCCTCACTTGAGCACAGTAACTAGGCTGAAGGGGACAAGAGGCTGCTGGGCTGATCCTAAACCCTCCTTGCAGGGGAGCTGGGGCTGCTGCCAGGGCTTGGCTAGAAAGTTGAGCTGAGGGTGAGGCCTAGGGCAAGCCTGGCGCTCTAGTTGCTGCCCCCAGCCCCAGGGCAGTGGGGGCTGTAGACCTCCCGTGCGCCCTGGGGGTTGCTGCCTTGCTGGCAGATGCTTCCTGCGTGTCCCAGATCCCTTAGTGCCGCCGGCACCTCATCGGCCCCGGCCGCGCTGATGACTTTCAGCCTTCGCTGCAAGGCTCGTTCCTCGCTCCCAAATGCAGCCAGCTCTGGGGTGGGAAGCGGCCGCTCGTGCCCCTCCCTCTCCCTGCCCTTCTTTCTCTGTCTCCGCCTCCTGCTTGCCCCCGGCCCTGCAGAGCTCCTTGCTGCAGTGGGACCACCGCCGAGTGCTGTTGCGGCTGACCCGGGCCCGCTGCCTGTCGGGGGCTGGAGGGAGAGGGGCCGACCAGCCCTAGTGCGATGGACGCCAGCCCAGATGCCTCCGGGGCAGAAGACGGAGCTACAGGCCTGCCCTGGGCGCACCCCGCTGGCTCAGGCGGGGGCGGGAGTCGCGCACGTGCCACTCACGTGGGCGCGGGCCGGAAGCGGGGCGCATGACGCAATGACGCCGCGTCCCGGAAGGGGCGGGATTCCGGGACGGGGTGGTCACGTGACGAGGGCCGGTTTCCCCCAGCGCGGCTTCGGC